ACCTTAAAATGTCCAAAACAATCAAGCAGCCAATTAATACGTCAACCAGAAGTGCCCTCAAAACAGAATTGACTCAGATTTCCACATAGCAGGAGTGATAGTTAAACAAGACAGACAGGTTTCAGTTCCATTCTCTCCTCATGACTAAGCTCTCTACTAAAGGCTCACCCAGGTCCTTCATGAGCCAACTTTACCAGTGAGGGGGGCACCGGCTTCCAGAAAGGATCCTTCAGGGGTGCTTGGGTGGCTCAGTCAGTTAAGCGGCTGCCTTCTCTCAGGTCATAATCAGGCTCATATCGGGCTCCTCGCTCAGCAGGGAAGCCTGCCTCTCCCTCTCCCCTCCTTCTGCTCTCTCTCCCTCTCTGCCCAATAAATAAATAAATAACCTTAAAAAAAAAAAAAGGATCCTTCATACATATAAGACAGAAACTACTTCAAGGGCTCACTCTTCTAAGATTTGGAGCGGTGCAATGGTTTTCCATTGCTTCACTGATCTGTAACTGTTAACCGGAGGTGTGAAAATCCATTTCCAATAGATAAACCAGGTTGAGAAGCCAGGGTGTTAGCTTTAAGTTTCTGTTCAACAAACTGATTAGAATCATCCTTTAGGATCACGGAATCTCAGAGTGGAAGAGACTCACAGGCCATCTTGTCTAACACCTGATAAATGAGCTGCCTTCACTGCATTTCTCCTTCTCTGTTTCTACCTATCCCTTTTGCTTGTTCATCACCAAGGAAGCTACCCCCATTCTAATTCCAGATTGACAGGTTTTTAAATCTCCCACCAGTGAGCAAATCTTTTAATTTTGTGAAGACAGTGATCCTTTTTCAAATCTTTTTCAGATTGAATAACCTTTTTGTTTGCCTTGGTCCTTTCTAGAAAGAAAAAATGGGGTTTGGTCTTTTATCCTTCTTGGCTGCTATCTTTGGAAACTGTGTTGTCAACATCTTTGCTTAAAGTATGGTGCTCATACCTAAACAGTCAACATCATGCTTGATCCAAGCAACATGTAAGTCAGAAGTGGGGTTATTCCTCCCTCATTCTGGACACTAGAATCCCATATAAACAATTATATGGTCATGACGCCCCCCCCAACTTTCTTGAGTCTTGATTTCTTTTATCACTACAACATTACCCCCTCCAACTTTTGGAAAACCGCAGATTTAAAAAGTATTCTATGAGATGTCACCTCACACCTGTTAAAATGACTATTATCAAAAAGACAAGAAATATCAAGTCTTGGCGAGGACGTGGAAAAAAAGGAAACCTCTTGCACTGTTGGTGGGAATGTAAATTGGTACAGCCACTCTGGAAAACAGTATGGAGGTTCCTCAAAAAGTTAAAAATAGAACTGCCCTGGGGCATCTGGGTGGCTCAGATGGTTAAGCATCTGCCTTCAGCTTGGGTCATGATCTCCAGGTCCTGGGATAGAGCCCTGTGTCGGGCTCCCGGCTCAGCAGGGAGTCTGCTTCTCCCTCTCCCTCTGCCTCTCCCTCTGCCTCTCCTCCTGCTCATGCTCTCTCTCTGTATCTCTTTGTCTCAAATGAATAAATAGAACCTTTAAAAAAAAAATAGAACTGCCCTATGATCCTGCAATCCTACTTCTGGGTATTTATCTGAAAAAACAAAAACACTAGATGAAAAAGATATGGCACTCCCTGTTCATTGCAGCACTATTTACAATAGCCAAGACATGGAAACAACCTAAGTGTCCAGAAGTGGATGAATGGATAAAGAAGATGTGATACATATACAGTGGAATGTTACTGAGCATAAAAAAGAATGACATCTCGCCATTTGTGACAACATGAATGGACCTCAAAGACATTATGCTAAGTGAAATAACTCAAAGAAAGACAAATACTGTATGATCTCACTTACATGTGGAATCAGGGAAAGAAAAAAAAAACACTCACAATACGGAGAACAAATTGATGGTTTCCAGAGATGGGATGGGGGGATGGGGAGGCAAATGGGTAAAGGTGGTCAAGAGGTACAAATTTACAGTTTTGTTTTGTTTTTTTTTTAAAGATTTTATTTATTTGACAGAGAGAGACACAGTGAGAGAGGGAACACAAGCAGGGGGAGTGGGAGAGGGAGAAGCAGGCCTCCCGCCGAGCAGGGAGCCCGATGCAGGGCTCAATCCCAGGACCCCGGGATCATGACCTGAGCCGAAAGCAGACGCTTAATGACTGAACCACCCAGGTGCCCCTACACACTTCCAGTTTTAAAATAAATAAGTCATAGAGACGTAATGTACAACATGGTGACTATAGTTAATAATACTGTATTATACTGTGGGCCCCAAGGGCAGCCCACCCCAAAAATGTGCCACTTTGGCATATTGACTATTTTGAACTAAAGTTACTTAAGAAAGAGACAGTGCATTACCCAAAGAATACAAAAATACAGATTTGAAGGGGTACGTGCTCCCCAGTGTTTACACTAGCATTATCAACAATAGCCAAACTATGGAGAGAGCCCAAATGTCCATCGACTGATGAATGGATAAAGCAGATGTGAGATTTATATATATATAAATATATAAATCTCATATATATACATATATACATATGAAAATCTCATTTATATACATATATAAATATAAATATCTCATATATACATATATAAATATAAAAATCTCATATATATACACACATAAATATATAATGGAATACTACTCAGCCATCAAAAAGAATGCAATCCTGCCACTTGCAACAATGTGGGTGGAGCTAGAGTGTATTATGCTAAGTGAAATAAGTCAGTCAGAGAAAGTCAAATATCATATGATCTCACTCATTTGTAGAATTTAAGAAGGAAAACAAAGGAACATAGGGGAAGGGGTGAAAAAAGAGAGAGGGAAGCAAGCCATAAGAGACTCTTAACCATTGGGAACAAGTTGAGGGTTGTTGGAGGGAGGTGGGTGGGGATGGACTAGATGGGTGATGGGGATTAAGGAGGGCACTCAATGTAATGAGCACTGGGTATTGTATGTAAGTGATGAATCACTGATTTCCACTCCAGAAACCAATATTGCACTGTATGTTAACTAAGTAAAATTTAAATTAAGAAAAGAAAGAGCCCACGCAAGAGCAACATCCTGACCCTCCCCCCACCCTTTGTCTCCAGAAAGCAGGAAATAAATCTCCTGTGGAAAGCTACCCTCCCTGTATCAGGAGATAAAGGGACATCCTTCTCACCAGAGGTAGGAAATTCAGAGCCGAGAAGAATGGAGAAACAAACCTTGGTACTTTTACTAAGTTATTACCCCAGCCCAAATCCTGTTTAGAATTTCTTAGTAATTGAGGCTCCCAAACATAAGTTTTCTTTGTCCTGTCAATTTCTCACAGATTTATGTCTCTTTGTCTAAAATGTATAAAAGCTGGATGCCACCATCATTTCTTTGGGTCATACTTTCATTATTGGTTCTCTGCACACAAGTAATTAAACTTTGGATTTCTTTCCTCCTATTAATTCATCTCATGCCAATTGAATTCTTAGACCAGACAGAATAACGTTGAAAAGAAGAGGTAAATTTTTTCCTCTCTGACATATATTTGAAAATTGCTAAGGAAACTCTTTTATTATTATTGTTATTATTATTATTATTTTCAAGAAAGCTGTTTTTAAATGTTCTTATCACACATACAAAAAATTCTCATCACAAGAAAAACAAAATTGCAACTCTACATGGTGATGGATGCTAACCAGATTTAGAGTGGTGATCGTTTTGCAGTATCTACAAATAGCAGGTCATGCTGTATGTACACTTGGAACTAATATAATGTTATATGCTAATTATACCTCGCTTAAAAATAAATCTTAAAAATAAATGAGAGGTTGTTTTCAAGTGGTTAAAAAAAAAAGCATTCTAAGTCTATGAAGTTTTGTATAACAACATCTAAAAAAGGCATCTGCAATGGTTCACAGCCCTGGCTGTCCCTGAGAATTACCCGGAAACAGAACAAATACCTAAGGTGAGGTCCACCCCAGAAGTCAGGCCCTGTGGGAAATGGGACCTGACCTTATATATTTTTAAAAGCTCCAGGTGAATGTAGTATGCATCCAGGGTTGAACCACTAATCTCAAGAAACCATGACTCTGATGCTCATATTGATTCAAGTTCTTTTTCCCTTGAACGGTGAATCTGAATTTTTATTCTGAATTGAACTAGCAGAACTGAATCCGTTCACTAGAAACACTTGAGATCATTCAAATCATTTAGAACTTGGGCCAAAGGAAAGGTGCAGTTAATTTAGTAACAACTGAGATCTAACTGAAATTAATAGAACATCAGGCTTAGGAGACGGGGTTTATATCACTGGCACGATCACTCACTAGCTGGGTAGCTTGAGGACTTCACACAACCCCATTGACGTTTCTTTGTCTATAAAATGAAGGTACTGGTCTAGAAACCTTTAAGGTGCTCTAAATTTCTGATTCAATTCCAGGAAAGAACTTGCAAATAAAAAGTTTTAAAGTCGTACGCTGCTCCCATTTTGAAATCATGTGAATTTAGCTATTGGAGCTTTGACAGGAGTGAAAGTATTATTAAAATGTTCAAATTGCCATTCCAATTTACTTTGTAATATTTTTTCCTGATTGTAAATGACATCACACTTAAAGGAGAGTTGGGTTTAATCTTTCATTGGCACAGCCGGCTTTCCCTCAATCCTTTGCCCTGTCTCAAGGCTGCAGCACATATCTGAAGTGGGTCTGTGGGTCCAGAAAGGCAGTTCGACATATCAGCAAAATCGAGTCAGAGGGTTGAGCTCTACCTCTGCCCTGCTAATCCCTATGCCTTAGTTTCCTCATCTGTAAAATGGACATGAGTCATATCATGAATGACATCGGTGAGCAGAACTGCTATAAAGATTTTTTTAATTAACATTTAAAACTGAAAAGATCTTTGAAATGTTAACCTTTTTTTTTTCTTTACTATTTTCTAAAGCAGTTCATTCAGTATCAACCATGCAGTGTTTACCCATAAAAACAAAAGTTAAGAGACACACATACCTGGGATCCTATTGAGGGTCACCCAGAAATGTTCATCAGGGCTGTAAGTGTCCTTGGACCAGGAAAGCAAGTCAAGTGCATGCTGGTCTTGGAGGACAAAGTTGGCAAATTCCCTTGTGAGGGCCACATAGGCAGTGCCAAAGTAAATGGTCATGTTGTGAGGAGGTGGAGTTTTCAATTTTGTTGTTTTAAGCATGTAGGAATTTTTTTTGCTTAACAGCTCCCGGTGGACGAATTTAGTCCGTCCAATAGCGTGACCGGGGGGTAGCACCCCTGGGGTAATGTTTTTCCCTTTAAAGCTTTTCAGATACCGAATTATCTCCTTGTTGGTTTTCAGGGGGAAGTCTTGCCCACACATGTTGATGGCGTACTTCCAGGGCACGTCGGACGCTGTGAGGTCTTTGATGCAGTTCAGGTCAGCCTGGAGCCTGGAGATCCCCCCATAGACAACTGGCTCCATCTTGGAAGCCAGGAAAGCATTTGGGAAGCAGCTCAGTAATTGCTTTACTGCATCTTTAAATGTATCTGTCGCCTTCTCATCCACGTGAACGCAGTAGACATTTTGGGGCATGTAAATTGCCCTAAAGAGTCTCTCAAAAGTGCCAAAGTCTTTGTGGATGGTCACCGTGTACGCCAAAGGGAACCCCGCTTCTTCTTCCGATAGTGTTTCTGTTATATAATGACTTTGAGCCATGTACTTGTAACAGGTAGATTCACTGAGGGTAGTTTTCAATGCATTCTCTCTTGGGTAAAAAACCTTCCCCTTAAAAATCTGATGACAGACTTCTGCTAACAGTGAAGCATTGGACAGAGATGCCTTCAGAAAATGCTTCTCCTCCCATAACTCGTTATTGTAAACAAAGACAAAAATCAGGGCAGTGATAAGAGACACGGTAAAAAGACAATGCTTCCAAGAGACCATCATTCAAGACCAGAAAGTGAGGGAAATGTCTCTCGAGAGCTGATCAGAGTGTAGATATATTTAACTTACATTTTCTTCAGAATCCATAAATCATCCTCTTGGTAGACGCAATTCTGATCAGTGGTTGTGTGCCCTTCCAGTTGACCGTCTTGTCCTTTTGCTGTCTTCCTTCCCTGCTCATTCACCGCTGTTTCATTTCCACCTTTCTCTGACACATCTCTAAAGTAGCTCCCTTGGATTTGCTTTGCTCCGGCTCCCGTTAACCTGCAACCTGTTACCACACAAAAACAAGCGGCCTCAGGCAGATTCTGATTCTGATGAGGCCACCTATCTCCGCCGTAAAATCACCGAAGGGTGAGGTCACCATTCCGCAAGTCATCCCCCTAAGACTTCTACCCTAGGCTCTTCTCCCAGCCAAAGGTTGGCAACTGTGTCAGCTCCCCAACTTCCTGTTAATCATTGCGTTCAACTGACTGGCTTGTTTGCTTAAACAGCACTGCCAAGTTAAAAGCTTCAGTTCTAAGCATGTGAACACTGCCTGGAGAGATATTCTGTCAATAAATATTTAGTGCTTAAAAATTAATCGCTTAACCTATCTTTTTCCACACACACTCACCCTCCTCCCTATATTGGCTGGGTATGCTATAAAGCAAGGCATATGACTGGCTGTTGAGCCAAATTCTTTCCAAGGCTTAATTTTCTCTGCTGCTAGGTGAGGTCCTTAAAAAGGCACATTTGCAAGCTTACCTGACCACCTAACTTATTACACAGAGTGACCAGGGCACTGGATGAATAAAGGCTAATTAAAAAAAAAATACCCAAACCCCCCAAACAGCTGTCCTTACCCCAAAATTGTGTAAAACCTAAAACTGAAGTTAGTGGAATGCCAAGATGATTTCACCCTAGCCCAAATTGGGTACCTGCAGAGCAGCCTGATGTCTGGAGAGGAAAAAGAGAGGAGCCGTCTCAGTCTGGGAAGTTCCAGAACTCAAGGGGAGAGGTTTTACAAATGTACAAACCCTTTCAAAGGGGTTTCCCCCATGTAAAAGTGAAAATAATTTTACCACCTTCGTAAGTCAGTCATGAGAATAAAATGAGATAATATGTCTAAGAGTTCATGGGCATGGCCAACCACAAGTAGGGGGGAGAGAGAAGAGTGAACAAAAGCCCCTCCCCCATTGCATGTCAAGAAAATGACACAATCGCCACCTTTCCTTTGAAACCTTTTTACACTTCCCTTATTCTCTCCTCTGCGAGCCCGTGCCAGTTAGATGATACACCAAAGAGAACACGGATCGTTTTACTTTATTTGGTAGTTAGCTGCATGTGGGTGTGAACGTACACGGACCACACTCGGAGGAGCAGTGTGTGAGCACACCCCTCATCTGTTTCTAGCTCCCACCACTGTCTGCACATGCTAGACAATCAAATATGTATTGATCGAATGCTCTAGTTTTCATCTCCCTGTTTCCCTGATCACATTAGTGTGAGATTCCAAGTATTAAGGACTTCTAATTTTGTGTCTGTGGATGTGGGTACATTCAACATACCTATTTTCCCAATACGTCTTAGTTATGAAACAACATAATATTACAGACTGTAAACAGTGTTTTCATGTATGGTAGTCTATTTACCTCTTGCCCCTAGACATACATGTTTTGCCTTTGGTTTGTTACTTTCTTACTCCTTATTGTACCTTCCTTCCTGACTTTGTATCGTGCTTTGTTTTGGGTGCCATGTTTGAAGCCAAGTTAAATGCACGGTGAAATGCCTTTGAATTTGGAATCCTGAACCTGCTTTACAACTGTGTTTACCTGGCTTTATGATTGCATAAAGACGACCTTGTGGAAAGATACAACCCCCCGACCTGCCTTCAGAGCGGGCTTGAGACAGGCCCAGAGTGACAAAATAGGAAAACCAGAAAAGTAGCTCTGCGTTTGGCAGAACCTGATTTTAAGTAATCGATCTGTCTTTAGTTCTGGAGATGGATTTTGGTAGAAATCACATGCAAACCCACCTCATTGCTTTTCTAGTTTGTCCAGTTTTATCTATTCTCAACTGGAGTTTATGCCTCACTGGAATGTTGTGGAGACTCATGAAGTAAAAGTATGTTTTAACCCACCGCACAGTGCCAAGTACTTTGTTAAATTCTGGAAACATTTTCCCCTTGCTTGAAGAAAACTGAAGAACATAATGTCAACCATTAAATTAGAAGTGAACATTGCCCTTTAATAAAAGCTTAAAAGTTGTAATTAAATATATATGGATACTAATGATTTAACAAGGCAAATGAAAACAATCACAGTCCCCAGTAAGTCCATGGCATAAGGAGACCCCACACTACCCTGAGCTATTCTTTGAAAAACCTTCAGAAATGGAAATCCCATGTACCACTATCGAATGATTCATTCACTCATACAACAATCATTTTTTGTGTGCTTACTTTATGCCAGGCACTGTGCTAGATTCTGGAAATAGAAAACATAAAGGCAGCCCACATAAACTTAATCCTACTGGATTGTATACTGCTTGGGATTAAACAGAGGTAACGCTGTGCTCCCCTCCTTCCAATCTCCTCTCTCCTCTCTCTCTCTCTCTCTCTCTCTCTCTCTCTCTCTCCCTCATTCCCAGGAGGATGAAGTTGCCCAGATGCATTCTACCGCAAATACCTCCTTCTCTTTAAGGTAAAGGCAGGTTAACCAAATTAACCCTAATGTTTTGGAAAGTGGGATAACAAAAGCTGGAATGCGGACACACAGAGATCTGTTTGCCTTTTAGTCCCACCCTCAAAGGGCTGGCCTGGGAACCAAAGAAAGATCTGTGCCTGGAGTCTTGATGTCTCAAGTTACCTAGTTACTACCAGTTACTACCCTTCCCTACAGAATCTGGAAAGGCTTTGAATCTAAGGCTTCCAACCCCAGAGAGATTCTAAGCAGTTAACAGGGAAGTAGCTGTTGTGCCAAAACTGGATCTCCCACTAGGACGCTCTAATGTAGGATGCATGAGAATTATTCTCTGGTATTTTTCTGAGACTACCCTCCATTTTCCCCACTCAAAGTTTGCTTTTGCCAGAGAAGGGATTTTTGGATTCTCTTCACAGATCATTGGTACTTGAGGTGCACCCTTAAACTTAGTTCCAGATGGGAAATCCTATAGTCCCAGATCCAGAGTGAGTTATAATGGATTTAGATCCGTGTTCCTCACACAGATCTGCCCACGAAGGAAGCAAAGTCACAAGGCAACAGGATTTAGTAGAAAATGCCCTGGGTTGGGAGTTAGAAGGCCGGATTCTACGGTCCATAAAGTAAGTTGTATACCTTGAATGAGTTACTTCACCATGAGCCTCAGGCCAGGCAAACAGGAGGGCCTATGTGCTCTTTACACACCCTTCTGGGAATGAATTATGATTCATGTTCTGGGGAACAAGCTAGATGCTATTATACTTTTACCCAGCTTCCTCTCTTCCCATAAGTGGTTTGAAGCAACTTATAATATCCAGTGGGTTTAAAAAAAAAAACAAAATTGGCAGGGGCATCTGGGTGGCTCAGTCAGTTAAGGGTCTGCCTTCAGCTCAGGTCATGATCTCAGGGTTGTGGGATCGAGTCCCGCACCAGGGTCCCTGCTCAGGGGGGAATCTGCTCCCCTCTGCTCATGTTCTCTCTCTCTGTCAAATAAATAAATAAAATCTTAAAGCACACACACACACACAAAATTTGCAGTAGAGTCAAGAAAAGCCCAAGGAATAGCAAGTCAGCAATTATTAAAATAACCTTTTCCTGAAGAAGAGACTAAAAGAAGCTCAACTGTTGTAATAGAGTTTTGAGTGTTGGGATTCTGAGAAATTACTGTTTTTATATACTTGTTCCTGTTTTTCATATTTGTGGTCATAGATTATTTTCCTAATCAGAAAAGAAAAGTTGTAACGGCTTCGGCTGGTTATCTTTCCCCTCATCCTCGGCTGAGCGTTTGTCCGATCGACAATTCAACTTCCTCCTTAGCATTCAACTTCCTCAATTTCTTCATGGCCTGGCATTCTGTACCACTTGCAAAAGTATGAAAAAATAGACCCTACTCCATAGGAATCTTGCTAGAGAAATAAATACAATGCTTTATGAGATTCGACGTCTTTTACCAACAAAAGAATAAAATCATCAGATATCTATTTTTGTATACATGGGTGTTTTTCAAACCCTTCCAGCATTGGAAGGTGGAGGAGGGTAAGGAGAGAAGAAGCAGCTTTTCTGAAGGTTAAGGACTGAGTCCTCTCATTTTGAAAGAGCCAGTCAAGCCGAATGATCTCAGCCAAAGCTGATTTTCCATTCCTTGGCAATGACCTAATTACTTCACTGTACCGCGTAGCAGATCCTGCCCATTCAATCACTTCAGGACTTCCCTGCTCTTTAGGGGCTCCATTTTCTTCTCTGTATACCCTATTCTTCCTTCTCTTGATCCACCTAACCTGCTCTTCTCTTCTCCATAGTTAACAAGAGAACATTTAAATTCCATGCCCACCATGGATAAAACTTGGCAACCCACAAAGACAAAGAAAAAGGGCTAGTAGACGTTAAAAAAAAAAAAGATTCACCTTCACTGAATTGCAAATAAAAACAAAAATGCAGCTCTTTTTCTCTTTAATTCAAATAGCTTTTAAAAAGAAGCACCTAAGAATATCCACTGTGGGCAGAGTGTGATGACATAAGCCCTCTTGTACACTGGTGGTCTGATTGAAAATTAGAACATATTTTGGAAGGTAATGAAGGGGTTCCGAGCATTCAGAGTATGCTACCCAAAGTCTGCACCCTGACATAAGGATGATTGTGATCTGAAGTGATTCAGAAGAAGCAAACACAGGAAACTCTGCCCTTCCTCTCTCTAGCAGGAAAGGCTCAGGATGATTCTTCACACTTGATCTTAGCCAAATGACCCTGAAGTGATGGGATGATTCTTAATCTACTGAAACAACTCTAGACCATTATGGACACGGCACCAGAGGAATCTAG